GAGCTTACGGGAGAACGGATTAATGTGGGTGGTGGTGGGTGGGTTAGTGGGTGGGTTAGTGGGTGGGTGGTGGTGGTGGGTGGGTGGTGGTGGGTGGGTGGGTGGGTTAGTGGGTGAGTGGGTGGGTGGGTGAGTGGGTGGTGGGTGGGTGAGTGAGTGACTGACTGAGTGAGTGAGTGACTGAGAGAGTGAGTGAGTGTATGAGTGAATGGTTGAGTGACAGAGTGAGTGAGTGAGTGGTTGAGTGGTTGAGTGAGTGGTTGAGTGAGTGAGTGACTGAGTGAGTGGTTGAGTGGTTGAGTGAGTGACTGAGTGAGTGACTAAGTGAGTGAGTGACTGAGAGACATTGACACAGCACTACAGAAGAGCTTATGGGAGAACGGATTCATGTGGGTGGTGGTGGGTGGGTTAGTGGGTGGGTGGTGGGTGGGTTAGTGGGTGGGTGGTGGGTGGGTGGGTGAGTGAGTGAGTGGGTGAGTGGGTGAGTGAGTGAGTGGGTGAGTGGGTGAGTGGGTGAGTGAGTGACTGAGTGAGTGAGTGGGTGAGTGACTGAGTGAGTGAGTGGGTGAGTGAGTGAGTGGGTGAGTGGGTGAGTGAGTGAGTGACTGAGTGAGTGAGTGACTGAGAGACATTGACACAGCACTGCAGAAGAGCTTACGGGAGAACGGATTCATGTGGGTGGTGGTGGGTGGGTTAGTGGGTGGGTGGTGGGTGGGTTAGTGGGTGGGTGGTGGGTGGGTGGGTGAGTGAGTGAGTGAGTGGGTGAGTGGGTGAGTGAGTGAGTGAGTGGGTGAGTGGGTGAGTGACTGAGTGAGTGACTGAGTGACTGAGTGAGTGAGTGACTGAGAGACATTGACACAGCACTACAGAAGAGCTTACGGGAGAACGGATTCATGTGGGTGGTGGTGGGTGGGTGGTGGGTGGGTGGTGGGTGGGTTAGTGGGTGCGTGGTGGGTGGGTGGGTTAGTGGGTGGGTGAGTGAGTGACTGACTGAGTGACTGAGTGGCTGAGTGAGTGAGTGACTGAGTGAGTGACTGAGTGAGTGAGTGAGTGGCTGAGTGACTGACTGACTGACTAAGTGAGTGAGTGACTGAGTGAGTGAGTGACTGAGTGACTGAGTGAGTGAGTGACTGAGTGACTGAGTGAGTGAGTGACTGAGTGAGTGAGTGAGTGACTGAGTGACTGAGTGAGTGAGTGACTGAGTGAGTGAGTGAGTGACTGAGTGAGTGAGTGACTGAGTGAGTAAGTGACTGGGTGAGTGGGTGAGTGAGTGACTGACTGAGTGAGTGACTGAGTGAGTGAGTGACTGAGAGACATTGACACAGCACTGCAGAAGAGCTTACGGGAGAACGGATTCATGTGGGTGGTGGTGGGTGGGTGGTGGGTGGGTGGTGGGTGGGTGGTGGGTGGGTTAGTGGGTGGGTGGGTTAGTGAGTGGGTGGGTTAGTGAGTGGGTGGTGAGTGAGTGGGTGGTGGGTGGGTGGGTTAGTGGGTGGGTTGGTGGGTGGGTGGGTTGGTGGGTGGGTAAGTGAGTGTTTGAGTGAGTGAGTGACTTAGTAAGTCACTGAGTGACTGAGTGAGTGAGTGACTGAGTGAGTGAGTGAGTCACTGAGTGAGTGTATGAGTGAGTGAGTGAGTGTATGAGTGACTGAGTGAGTCACTGAGTGAGCGAGTGTATGAGTGAGTGAGTGTATCAGTGAGTGACTGAGTGAGTGAGTGTATGAGTGCGTGTATGAGTGACTGACTGAGTGAGTGACTGCGTGAGTGACTGAGTGAGTGACTTAGTGAGTGGTTTAGTGAGTGACTGAGTGAGTGAGTGACTGAGTGAGTGGTTGAGTGACTGAGTGACTGACTGAGTGACTGAGTGAGTGACTGAGTGTACGAGTGAGTGACTGACTGAGTGACTGACTGAGTGTATGAGTGAGTGTATGAGTGACTGAGTGACTGAGTGAGTGTCTGAGTGAGTGACTGAGTGACTGACTGAGTGACTGACTGAGTGAGTGAGTGACTGAGTGACTGACTGAGTGTATGAGTGAGTGTATGAGTGAGTGTATGAGTGACTGAGTGACTGACTGAGTGAGTGACTGACTGAGTGAGTGACTGAGTGACTGACTGAGTGACTGAGTGACTGACTGAGTGACTGACTGAGTGACTGACTGAGTGAGTGTATCAGTGACTGAGTGAGTGACTGAGTGAGTGACTGAGTGACTGACTGAGTGACTGAGTGACTGAGTGACTGCCTGAGTGACTGACTGAGTGAGTGACTGAGTGAGTGTAGCAGTGACTGAGTGACTGAGTGAGTGACTGAGTGAGTGACTGAGTGACTGACTGAGTGACTGACTGACTGAGTGACTGACTAACTGAGTGAGTGAGTGTATCAGTGGTTGACTGAGTGACTGACTGAGTGAGTGACTGAGTGTATCAGTGAGTGACTGAGTGAGTGACTGACTGACTGACTGAGTGACTGAGTGACTGAGTGACTGAGTGACTGTATCAGTGACTGACTGAGTGACTGAGTGACTGATTGAGTGACTGACTGAGTGAGTGACTGACTGACTGACTGAGTGAGTGAGTGGGTGAGTGAGTGGGTGAGTGGGTGAGTGAGTGGGTGAGTGGGTGAGTGAGTGGGTGAGTGGGTGGGTGAGTGGGTGAGTGGGTGAGTGGGTGAGTGAGTGTGTGGGTGAGTGAGTGAGTGGGTGAGTGAGTGAGTGGGTGAGTGGGTGAGTGAGTGGGTGGGTGAGTGAGTGGGTGGGTGAGTGAGTGGGTGAGTGAGTGAGTGGGTGGGTGAGTGAGTGGGTGGGTGGGTGAGTGGGTGAGTGGGTGAGTGAGTGGGTGGGTGAGTGAGTGCGTGAGTGGGTGAGTGAGTGGGTGGGTGAGTGAGTGAGTGAGTGAGTGGGTGAGTGAGTGGTTGAGTGAGTGGGTGAGTGACTGATTGACTAACTGACTGAGTGACTGACTGACTGAGTGACTGACTGAGTGACTGACTGAGTGACTGACTAACTGAGTAACTGACTGACTGAGTGACTGATTGTACCACCCACCCACCCACAGCTACTTCCACAAGGTCCCAGATTCCCCGCCTGACCTTGACTCCCCGGCGACTTTTAGTGACTGAGTCACTGAGTGAGTGACTGAGTGAGTGAGTGGGTGAGTGGATGAGTGGGTGAGTGGATGAGTGGGTGGCTGGGTGAGTGAGTGAGTGAGTGGGTGAGTGAGTGGGTGAGTGGGTGAGTGAGTGGGTGAGTGACTGAGTGAGTGACTGAGTGAGTGAGTGTATCAGTGAGTGACTGATTGACTGAGTGACTGAATGACTGACTGACTGACTGAGTGTATGAGTGAGTGTATGACTGACTGAGTGCCTGACTGACTGACTGACTGAGTGACTGACTGAGTGACTGACTGACTGAGTGACTGTACCACCCACCCACCCACCCACAGCTACTTCCACAAGGTCCCAGATTCCCCTCCTGACCTTGACTCCCCGGCGACTTTTAGTGACTGAGTGAGTGACTGAGTGAGTGACTGACTGACTGAGTGACTGACTGAGTGACTGACTGAGTGTATCAGTGAGTGGGTGAGTGTATGAGTGAGTGACTGAGTGAATGACTGACTGAGTGACTGACTGAGTGACTGACTGAGTGTATCAGTGAGTGTATGAGTGAGTGACTGAGTGAGTGTATCAGTGAGTGTATGAGTGAGTGACTGAGTGACTGAGTGAGTGAGTGAGTGGGTGAGTGAGTGGGTGAGTGAGTGGGTGAGTGACTGAGTGAGTGAGTGACTGACTGAGTGACTGACTGAGTGTATGAGTGAGTGTATGACTGACTGAGTGACTGACTGAGTGACTGACTGAGTGTATCAGTGACTGAGTGACTGACTGACTGAGTGACTGATTGTACCACCCACCCACCCACAGCTACTTCCACAAGGTCCCAGATTCCCCTCCTGACCTGGACTCCCCGGCGACTTTTAGTGACTGAGTGAGTGACTGAGTGAGTGACTGACTGACTGAGTGAGTGAGTGACTGACTGAGTGAGTGACTGAGTGAGTGTATGAGTGAGTCACTGAGTGAGTGACTGAGTGAGTGAGTGGGTGAGTGGGTGAGTGGATGAGTGGGTGGCTGGGTGGGTGAGTGACTGACTGAGTGACTGAGTGACTGACTGAGTGTATCAGTGACTGAGTGTACCACCACCCACCCACCCACAGCTACTTCCACAAGGTCCCAGATTCCCCTCCTGACCTGGACTCCCCGGCGACTTTTAGTGAGTGAGTGAGTGTATGAGTGAGTGACTGACTGACTGAGTGACTGACTGAGTGTATGAGTGAGTGAGTGGGTGAGTGACTGAGTGAGTGACTGACTGAGTGAGTGACTGAGTGAGTGTATCAGTGAGTGGGTGAGTGACTGACTGACTGAGTGACTGACTGAGTGACTGAGTGACTGAGTGACTGAGTGAGTGACTGACTGAGTGACTGACTGAGTGACTGACTGACTGACTAACTGACTGACTGACTGACTGATTGTACCACCCACCCACCCACCCACAGCTACTTCCACAAGGTCCCAGATTCCCCTCCTGACCTGGACTCCCCGGCGACTTTTGGCTGCGTGGAGCCGCCTGAGGTGGAGCTGCCCCCTGCCAGCGACTCGTGGAGCGTGGAAGCTTACACAGGGTTCGATCTCACCAAGACTGGAGCCTTGGTTAAAGAGGTACATACAGATACACAGTGATACACACACAGACACTCACACACAGTGGAAGCTTACACAGGGTTCGATCTCACCAAGACTGGAGCCTTGGTTAAAGAGGTACACACACACAGTGATACATACACAGTGATACACACAGTGGAAGCTTACACAGGGTTCGATCTCACCAAGACTGGAGCCTTGGTTAAAGAGGTACATACAGATACACAGTGATACACACACACACACAGTGATACACACACAGTGGAAGCTTACACAGGGTTCGATCTCACCAAGACTGGGGCATTACTACAGGAGGTATACAGAGATACACACACAGTGATACACACACAGACACTCACACACAGTGGAAGCTTACACAGGGTTCGATCTCACCAAGACTGGGGCGTTAGTTAAAGAGGTATACACACAGTGATACACACAGTGATACACACAGTGATACACAGGGTTCGATCTCACCAAGACTGGAGCCTTGGTGCAAGAGGTATATACACAGTGATACACACACAGTGATACATACAGTGATACACACACACAGTGATACACACACAGTGATACACAGGGTTCGATCTCACCAAGACTGGAGCGTTACTACAGGAGGTATACACACACAGTGATACACACACAGAGAGAGACAGTGACACACACAGTGATACATACAGACACTCACACACAGTGATACACACACAGTGATACACACACAGTGATACACACACAGTGATACACACACAGTGATACACACAGTGATACACACACAGTGATACACACAGATACACACACAGTGACACACACACACAGTGATACACAGGGTTCGATCTCACCAAGACTGGGGCATTACTACAGGAGGTACACACACACAGTGATACACACACAGTGATACACACACAGTGACACACACACAGACACTCACACACAGTGGAAGCTTACACAGGGTTCGATCTCACCAAGACTGGAGCCTTGGTTCAAGAGGTACATACAGATACACAGTGATACACACACAGTGATACACAGTGATACACACACAGTGATACACACAGTGATACACACACACACACAGTGATACACACACAGTGGAAGCTTACACAGGGTTCGATCTCACCAAGACTGGGACATTGATACAAGAGGTATACAGAGATACACACACAGTGATACACAGGGTTCGATCTCACCAAGACTGGAGCGTTAGTTAAAGAGGTACACACAGTGATACACAGTGACACACACACACACAGTGATACACACACACAGTGATACACAGTGATACACACACAGTGATACACACACAGTGATACACACACAGTGATACACACACAGTGGAAGCTTACACAGGGTTCGATCTCACCAAGACTGGGACGTTGGTGCAAGAGGTATACACAGAGATACACAGTGATACACACAGTGATACACACAGTGATACACACACAGTGATACACACACAGTGATACACACACAGTGATACACACACAGTGACACACAGTGATACACACAGTGATACATACACACAGTGATACACACACAGTGATACACATACAGTGATACACACACACACACAGTGATACACACACAGTGATACACACACAGTGATACACACACAGTGGCACACAGTGATACACACAGTGATACATACACACAGTGATACACACACAGTGATACACACAGTGATACACACAGATACACACAGAGATACACACAGTGATACACAGGGTTCGATCTCACCAAGACTGGAGCATTGGTGCAAGAGGTACAGATACACAGATACACACACAGTGATACACACACAGTGACACACAGTGATACACACACAGTGATACACACACAGTGATACACACACAGTGATACACACACAGTGACACACAGTGATACACACAGTGATACATACACACAGTGATACACACACAGTGATACACACACAGTGATACACACACAGTGACACACAGTGATACACACAGTGATACACACAGTGATACACAGGGTTCGATCTCGCCAAGACTGGAGCATTGGTGCAAGAGGTACAGATACACAGATACACACACAGTGATACACACACAGTGATACATACAGTGATACACACACAGTGATACACACACAGTGATACACACACAGTGATACACACAGTGATACATACACACAGTGATACATACACACACAGTGATACACACACAGTGATACACACACAGTGGAAGCTTACACAGGGTTCGATCTCACCAAGACTGGGACGTTGGTGCAAGAGGTATACACAGAGATACACAGTGATACACACAGTGATACACACAGTGATACACACACAGTGATACACACACAGTGATACACACACACAGTGATACACACACAGTGATACACACACAGTGATACACACACAGTGATACACACACAGTGATACACACACAGTGATACACACACAGTGATACACACAGTGATACACACACAGTGGAAGCTTACACAGGGTTCGATCTCACCAAGACTGGAGCGTTACTACAGGAGGTATATATACACACACAGAGATACACACACAGAGAGAGACAGAGATACACACACAGTGATACACACAGTGATACACACACAGTGATACACAGTGATACACACACAGTGGAAGCTTACACAGGGTTCGATCTCACCAAGACTGGAGCATTAGTTAAAGAGGTACACACAGATACACAGTGATACACACACAGTGATACACACACAGTGATACACACACAGTGATACACACACACAGTGATACACACACAGTGATACACACACAGTGATACACACACAGTGATACACACACAGTGATACACACACAGTGGAAGCTTACACAGGGTTCGATCTCACCAAGACTGGGACGTTAGTGCAAGAGGTACACACAGTGATACATACACAGTGATACAGTGATACACACAGAGAGATACACAGTGATACACACAGACACTCACACACAGTGGAAGCTTACACAGGGTTCGATCTCACCAAGACTGGAGCATTGGTGCAAGAGGTATATACAGATACAGTGATATACACACACAGTGATACACACACAGTGATACACACACAGTGATACACACACAGTGATACACACACAGTGATACACACACAGTGATACACACACAGTGATACACACAGTGATACACACACAGTGACACACAGTGATACACATATTGATACACACACAGTGATACACACACAGTGATACACACACAGTGATACACACAGACACAGTGACACACAGTGATACACACACAGTGATACACACACAGTGATACACACAGTGATACACACACAGTGGAAGCTTACACAGGGTTCGATCTCACCAAGACTGGGGCATTAGTTAAAGAGGTATACACAGTGACACACACAGTGATACACACACACACAGTGATACACAGTGATACACACAGACACTCACACACAGTGATACACACAGTGATACACAGTGATACACACAGAGAGATACACAGTGACACACAGTGATACACACAGAGATACACACACAGTGATACACACACAGTGATACACACACAGTGATACACACACAGTGATACACACACAGAGATACACACAGAGTGGAAGCTTACACAGGGTTCGATCTCACCTAGACTGGAGCATTAGTACAAGAGGTACACACAGATACACAGTGATACACACACAGTGATACACACACAGTGATACACACACAGTGATACACACACAGTGATACACACACAGTGATACACACAGTGATACACACACAGTGATACACACACACACACAGTGATACACACACAGTGATACACACACAGAGATACACACACAGTGATACACACACAGTGATACACACACAGTGGAAGCTTACACAAGGTTCGATCTCACCAAGACTGGAGCCTTAGTACAGGAGGTACACACAGATACACACACAGTGATACACACAGTGATACACACAGACACTCACACACAGTGATACACACACAGTGATACACACACAGTGACACACACACAGTGATACACAGGGTTCGATCTCACCAAGACTGGGACATTAGTACAGGAGGTACACACAGATACACACACAGTGGTACACACAGATACACACACAGTGATACACACACAGTGATACACACACAGTGATACACAGTGGAAGCTTACACAGGGTTCGATCTCACCAAGACTGGAGCATTAGTGCAAGAGGTACACACAGTGATACACACACAGTGATACACACACAGTGATACACACACAGTGATACACACACACACACAGTGATACACACAGTGATACAACAACAACAACAACAACCGCCATTCGCCACTAAGTGGCGGTGATGTCACCACGACGCTTGTGCCAGGCTATGTGCACCCTGAGGCCACGTGAAGTGTCGAACGCCCGCTGGCAGAAGGTCACGGGGCAGACCCAGGTGCCACGGGTCGACTGACTGAGATGACTGGCTGATGCACCACCTGTGCCCCCTACTGTGCCAACCTGCTGTGCTTTAGCCACCCGGCGCTCCGCTCGCTGTTGTGAGCGTCGCTCCTCCGCCCTCCGTTGTTGTTGGAGGGCGACTGCCTCCAACTGCCCAGTAGCATCCTTCACGAGCCTCCTCCACAGAGGCCGATCTTGACACCGCTGGTACCAGTCATCGGCAAGTCCACTCAGCTCCACGTCCTCCTGTACCACATCACACCATCTCTTCTCTAGCCCGTGCCATGCCCATTTAGCCCCCTCGATCCGGCCGAAAAAAAGCTGTTTCGGCATGCGGTGGCTGGGCATGCGGGCTACATGACCCAGCCATCGCAGCCTTGCCTGCCGGAGGAGCTCACCGATGGGACCCTGCCCAGATCTTTCAAGGATTTGTGAGCTCCTCACACAATCCAGTCTGGTTAAACCCAGGATGGATCGTAGGCAGGCCAGCCTAAATGTTTCTAACCGGCGAATATGTTCCATTAGGCGGGTCCACGTTTCGCAAGCGTAGAGAAGGGAGGGAATGACCGTGGCCGAGAAGACCTGAAGCTTAGTGCGGAACGACAGACCAGGTAGCTTCCACACAGCGTTACGCAACCGATGAAAAGATATTGCCGCTCGACTGATTCGGAGTGAGACCTCTGCTGTTAAACTGGAGCCAGTCATAAGCACACTGCCCAGGTATGGGAAACTCTCCACTCTCTCCACAACTGCCCCATCACCGATTGGGAGTTGTGGGGTGGAGTGTCCGATGGTACAAAATACCCAGGCAGGTGCTTAGTTTTGGTGGGGCTGATGGTAAGGCCCCATCTCTTAGTGGCACGCTCCAGTCTCAGCAGCAGCGTCTCCAACTCCTCCTCTGAATGAGCAGCTATTACCAAATCATCGGCATACATAACGTGGTTGAGCAATAGGGAGCCATCCCTTGACCGCACCCGGGCATCGATCAGCCTCCCATTATATCTGTACCAAATGGAGATTCCCCCGGTACAGCTATTGAAGGCTTCACGAACTACGTGGTCAAAATAGATGTTAAATAAAGTGGGATCCAGAGGACATCTCTGTCGCACCCCAAGGTGTACAGGGAATGGCTCTGACTCCCGGCCACGTAGTTTTACCCAGGCCCGCTCACCATCATGAAGGCCCTTAATTATCGTGAGCAGAGGGTTAAGTACTCCAAAAGCACGAAGAACAACCCAGAGCCTAGGCCTACTGATGGTATCATAGGCCTTGACCAGGTCAATAAAGCAGAGATGTAGGTCTTGCTGGAATTCTCTACACCTCTGCTGTAGCAGACGAATAGAAAATATGGCATCTGTGCAGGACCGCCCTTTCCTGAAACCGCATTGGGGCTCCGCAAGCCTCTCCTCAGCGTGCCTGGCAAGGCGATGTTGAATAATCCTTGCCAGGACCTTTCCCGGCACACTGAGGAGTGAGATGCCCCTGTAGTTGTTACAGTCTGTGAGGTCCCCCTTCTTAAAGAGGGGGACCACCAGGGCATCCTTCCAATCCTGCGGAACCCGTCCAGTGGTCCAGACTGTTGTTATGATGTCATATAGGGCAGTCTGTGCATAAACGCCACCCTCCCTCAGCATTTCGCTTGGGAGATCATCTCTAGCCCGGTGCCTTTCCTGGTCTCAGACTCCGGATCACCTTCAGTACTTCCTCAACAGATGGCACCTCAGCCAGCCACTCACAGGGGGTGACTTCATCCAATATTTGAGGCACCACAGCCTCAGCAGGGTCATCCCCACTTTGTGCCACGATGTTTTCCTGGCTGAGGGATTTTCCCTCCCCCAGGACCTCACAGAAATGCTCAGCAAATCTGCAAACCTGTTCCTGGGGGTCGGAGATTGGATCACCGTTTTTTCCCCTAATGATGGTAATAGGTGTGGCGCTGCAGGTTACTTTTGTGATGGAGTTAAATAGAGATTTGTGATCACGGGCCACTGAGGCAGACTCCATCTCCTCAGCAACCCGCGACCACCACCCATCCTTGCAACGCCTCACGGCTCTCCGAACCTCCGAGCGAAGGCTGCGGTAAGCCTCCTCATTCTCTGACGTGGGATGCTGTAGCCGATGACAGTGGGCCTGTCGCTTTTTCTCAACCATCCTGAACACCTCCTCTGTCAGCCAGGGTCTCTGGGGAGGTCTGGACCGCGTACCCAAAGCAGCCATTGCAGCTGCATGAGTCACAGTCCTAAACAGACACACACACAGACACACACACAGACACACACACAGACACACACACAGACACACACACAGACACACACACAGACACACACACAGACACACACAGACACACACACACAGACACACACAGACACACACACACAGACACAAACACACACAGACACACACACACAGACACACACAGACACAAACACACAAACACACACAAACACACACAGACACACAACAACAACAACAACCGCCATTCGCCACTAAGTGGCGGTGACGTCATCTCTCTGTGTCTCTGTCTCTGTGTCTCTCTGTCTGTGTCTCTCTTTGTCTCTGTCTCTGTCTCTCTCTGTGTCTCTGTCTCTCTCTCTGTGTCTCTGTCTCTCTCTCTGTCTCTCTCTGTGTCTCTGTCTCTCTCTGTCTCTGTCTCTCTGTGTGTCTCTGTCTCTCTCTGTCTCTCTCTCTGTGTCTCTCTGTGTGTCTCTGTCTCTCTCTGTCTCTGTCTCTCTGTCTCTCTCTGTGTGTCTCTGTCTCTCTCTGTCTCTCTGTGTGTCTCTGTCTCTCTCTCTGTCTCTGTGTCTCTCTCTGTGTCTCTCTGTCTCTGTGTCTCTGTCTCTCTGTCTCTGTGTGTCTCTCTGTCTCTGTGTGTCTCTCTCTCTCTCTCTGTGTCTCTCTCTCTGTGTCTCTGTGTCTCTGTCTCTCTCTCTGTGTGTCTCTCTGTCTCTGTGTGTCTATCTGTGTGTCTCTCTCTCTGTGTCTCTCTCTCTGTGTCTCTGTCTCTCTGTGTCTCTCTCTCTGCCTCCACCTCAGAAGGAGCAAGAGGTGAAGATTCTCAAGGAGCCGGATCTCAAACCAAACAAGGAGGCTCGCTGCTCCATTGCCTGAACCTCTCTGGAACACTCTGGACTGGTCTGGACTGGTCTGGACCGGTCTGGACCGGTCTGGACCTGTCTGAACCGGTCTGGACCTGTCTGGACCTGTCTGAACCGGTCTGGACCTGTCTGAACCAGTCTGGACCTGTCTGAACCAGTCTGGACCTGTCTGAACCTGTCTGGACTGGTCTGGACCTGTCTGAACCGGCCTGGATCTGTCCGAACCGGTCTGAACTGGTCTGGACCTGTCTGAGCCGGTCTGGAGCTGTCTGAACCGACCTGGATCTGTCCGAACCGGTCTGGAACTGTCTGAACCGGTCTGGAGCTGTCTGCACCGTCCTGGACCTGTATGAACCGGTCTGAACTGGTCTGGACCTGTTTGAACCAGTCTGGAGCTGTCTGAACCTGTCTGGACCTGTCTGGACCTGTCTGAACCGGCCTGGACCTGGCTGAACCGGTTTGGACCTGTCTGAACTGGTCTGGAGCTGTCTGAACCGGTCTGGACCTGTCTGAACCGGCCTGGATCTGTCCGAACCGGTCTGAAATGGTCTGGACCAGTCTGGACCGGTCGGGACCTGTCTGGACCTGTCTGGACCTGTCTGGACCTGTCTGGACCTGTCTGGACCTGTCTGGACCGCTCTGGACCTGTCTGAACTGGTCTGGACCTGTCTGAACCGGCCTGGACCTGTCTGAACCGGCCTGGACCTGTCTGAACCGGCCTGGACCTGTCTGAACCGGCCTGGACCTGTCTGAACCGGCCTGGACCTGTATGAACCGGTCTGAACTGGTCTGGACCTGTTTGAACCAGTCTGGAGCTGTCTGAACCTGTCTGGACCTGTCTGAACCGGCCTGGACCTGTCTGAACCGGCCTGGACCTGTCTGAACCGGCCTGGACCTGTCTGAACCGGCCTGGACCTGTATGAACCGGTCTGAACTGGTCTGGACCTGTTTGAACCAGTCTGGAGCTGTCTGAACCTGTCTGGACCTGTCTGAACCGGCCTGGACCTGTCTGAACCGGCCTGGACCTGTCTGAACCGGCCTGGACCTGTCTGAACTGGTCTGAACTGGTCTGGACCTGTCTGAACCGGCCTGGAGCTGTCTGAACCGGCCTGAACCAATCTTAACCAGATTGATCCAGTCATAACCTATCCGTACGTCTGTGAACCGGTCCGGCTTGAACCCCTCTGAACCGCTCTGAACCGCTCTGAACCCATTTAAAGTGGTTCAAACAAAATACAGAACAGCTTGAAATCGGTTCAAACGGGAACACAGAACCGGTTGAAACCGGTTCAATCGAGAACGCTGAACCGGTTCAAGCCAGGCGGGTTTAAACCGGTTTAAACCTGAACTAAGCTGCTTTTGCACCGCTTTTAATACCTAAATATACAAGAATACAGCCTTTAATTTAGTTTACTTTGCAAATACGTGAATATATAAACATAGGGCCTTTAATTTAGTTTACTTTGCAAATACGTGGATATATAAACATATAGACTTGAAATTTTGATTTAAAGCTTTCGTGACTGCAGTAATTCATATCCATAGTGCTTTCGGTAAAGTCACGTTGAAGGGAAACAATAAAATAATAATAATGTATATAAAACAATAAAAAATTCTCACGACGTTTCGACCATAACACGACCGTTTGTGTTATGGTCGAAACGTCGTGAGATTTTTTATTGTTTTATATATATATTATTATTTTATTGTTTCCCTTCAACGTGACTTTACCGAAAGCACTAAGTATATAGGGACTTTAATTTAGCTTACTTTGCAAATACGTGAATACATAAACATAGGGCCTTTAATTTAGTTTACTTTGCAAGTACGTGGATACATAAACATAGGGCCTTTAATTTAGTTTACTTTGCAAGTACGTGAATATATAAACATAGGGCCTTTAATTTAGTTTACTTTGCAAATACGTTAATATATAAACATAGGGGCTTTAATTTAGTTTACTTTGCAAATACGTGGATATATAAACATAGGGCCTTTAATTTAGTTTACTTTGCAAGTACGTGGATATATAAACATAGGGCCTTTAATTTAGTTTACTTTGCAAGTACGTGGATATATAAACATAGGGCCTTTAATTTAGTTTACTTTGCAAATACGTGAATACATAAACATAGGGGCTTTAATTTAGTTTACTTTGCAAATACGTGGATACATAAACATAGGGACTTTAATTTAGTTTACTTTGCAAGTACGTGAATATATAAACATAGGGCCTTTAATTTAGTTTACTTTGCAAATACGTTAATATATAAACATAGGGGCTTTAATTTAGTTTACTTTGCAAATACGTGGATATATAAACATAGGGCCTTTAATTTAGTTTACTTTGCAAGTATGTGGATATATAAACATAGGGCCTTTAATTTAGTTTACTTTGCAAGTACGTGGATATATAAACATAGGGACTTTAATTTAGTTTACTTTGCAAATACGTGAATATATAAACATAGGGGCTTTAATTTAGTTTACTTTGCAAATACGTGAATATATAAACATAGGGGCTTTAATTTAGTTTACTTTGCAAGTACGTGGATATATAAACATAGGGACTTTAATTTAGTTTACTTTGCAAATACGTGAATATATAAACATAGGGGCTTTAATTTAGTTTACTTTGCAAATCAGTGGATATATAAACATAGGGGCTTTAATTTAGTTTACTTTGCAAATACGTGGATATATAAACATAGGGGCTTTGTATTCTTGGTTCTTTGGTTTTAAAATGATGAATTAATAAAATAAAATAACCCAATAAAATTCCGGGACGGGTCTATTCCTTTCACCTGAAGGAGGCCACTTGTGTTGTGGCCGAAACGTCGTGAGAATTTAATCGCGTTTTTATTTTATAAATGTATTCGTTTCTTCTCATTCTACGTGGGGGTGACTTTACCGTAAGGACCAAAGAAGATTAATCCTTGAGCTCGCGAAAGCTCTAAATCGAAATTTGTATTCTTGGTTCTTTGGGTAAAGTCACGTAGAAGGGAAACAATAAAATAATAAGAAATATTAAACACTACGATTTATTATTTTATTGTTTCCCTTCTACGTGGCGGTGACTTTACCCAAAGAACCAAGAATTTGAATGCCCGGCAGTAACGAAACCTTTAAATAAATATACACACTCTGGCTTGCTTTAAAGGCAATTACTGTTGAAGTGTCTGTAGTGAGTCTGTGTGTGTGGTGAGTCTGTGGTGAGTCTCTGTGTGTGGTGAGTCTGTGGTGAGTCTGTGGTGAGTCTCTGTGTGTGGTGAGTCTCTGTGTGTGTGGTGAGTCTCTGTGTGTGTGGTGAGTCTGTGGTGAGTCTGTGGTGAGTCTCTGTGTGTGGTGAGTCTGTGGTGAGTCTCTGTGTGTGGTGAGTCTCTGTGTGTGGTGAGTCTCTGTGTGTGTGGTGAGTCTCTGTGGTGAGTCTCTGTGTGTGGTGAGTCTGTGGTGAGTCTCTGTGGTGAGTCTCTGTGTCTGTGGTGAGTCTGTGGTGAGTCTGTGGTGAGTCTCTGTGTGTGGTGAGTCTCTGTGTGTGGTGAGTCTGTGGTGAGTCTCTGTGTGTGGTGAGTCTGTGGTGAGTCTCTGTGTGTGTGGTGAGTCTCTGTGTGTGTGGTGAGTCTCTGTGTGTGGTGAGTCTGTGGTGAGTCTCTGTGTGTGGTGAGTCTCTGTATGTGGTGAGTCTCTGTGTGTGGTGAGTCTCTGGTGAGTCTCTGTGTGTGGTGAGTCTCTGTGGTGAGTCTCTGTGTGTGGTGAGTCTCTGTGTGTGGTGAGTCTCTGTGGTGAGTCTCTGTGTGTGGTGAGTCTCTGTGGTGAGTCTCTGTGTGTGTGGTGAGTCTCTGTGTGTGTGGTGAGTCTCTGTGTGTGGTGAGTCTCTGTGAGTGGTGAGTCTCTGTGTGTGGTGAGTCTGTGGTGAGTCTCTGTGTGTGGTGAGTCTCTGTGTGTGGTGAGTCTCTGTGTGTGGTGAGTCTCTGTGTGTGGTGAGTCTGTGGTGAGTCTCTGTGTGAATCTCTGTGTGTGTGAGTCTCTGTGGTGAGTCTCTGTGTGTGTGGTGAGTCTGTTGTGAGTCTGTGGTGAGTCTCTGTGTGTGTGGTGAGTCTCTGTGTGTGTGGTGAGTCTGTGGTGAGTCTCTGTGTGTGGTGAGTCTCTGTATGTGGTGAGTCTCTGTGTGTGGTGAGTCTCTGGTGAGTCTCTGTGTGTGGTGAGTCTCTGTGGTGAGTCTCTGTGTGTGGTGAGTCTCTGTGTGTGGTGAGTCTCTGTGGTGAGTCTCTGTGTGTGGTGAGTCTCTGTGGTGAGTCTCTGTGTGTGTGGTGAGTCTCTGTGTGTGGTGAGTCTCTGTGTGTGTGGTGAGTCTCTGTGTGTGGTGAGTCTCTGTGAGTGGTGAGTCTCTGTGTGTGGTGAGTCTGTGGTGAGTCTCTGTGTGTGGTGAGTCTCTGTGTGTGGTGAGTCTCTGTGTGTGGTGAGTCTCTGTGTGTGGTGAGTCTGTGGTGAGTCTCTGTGTGAATCTCTGTGTGTGTGAGTCTCTGTGTGTGTGGTGAGTCTGTTGTGAGTCTGTGGTGAGTCTCTGTGTGTGTGGTGAGTCTCTGTGTGTGTGGTGAGTCTGTGGTGAGTCTCTGTGTGTGGTGAGTCTCTGTGTGTGCTGAGTCTGTGGTGAGTCTCTGTGTGTGGTGAGTCTCTGTGTGTGGTGAGTCTCTGTGGTGAGTCTCTGTGTGTGTGTGTGAGTCTCTGTGTGTGTGGTGAGTCTCTGTGTGTGGTGAGTCTGTGGTGAGTGTGTGTGGTGAGTCTCTGTGTGTGGTGGTGAGTCTCTGTGTGAGTCTCTGTGTGTGGTGAGTCTCTGTGGTGAGTCTCTGTGTCTGTGGTGAGTCTGTGGTGAGTCTCTGTGTGTGGTGAGTCTCTGTGGTGAGTCTCTGTGTCTGTGGTGAGTCTGTGGTGAGTCTCTGTGTGTGTGGTGAGTCTGTGGTGAGTCTCTGTGTGTGGTGAGTCTCTGTGTGTGGTGAGTCTGTGGTGAGTCTCTGTGTGTGGTGAGTCTGTGGTGAGTCTCTGTCTGTGGTGAGTCTGTGGTGAGTCTCTGTGTGTGGTGAGTCTCTGTGTGTGGTGAGTCTCTGTGGTGAGTCTCTGTGTGTGGTGAGTCTCTGTGTGTGGTGAGTCTCTGTGTGTGTGGTGAGTCTGTGGTGAGTCTCTGTGTGTGGTGAGTCTCTGTGGTGAGTCTCTGTGTCTGTGGTGAGTCTGTGGTGAGTCTCTGTGTGTGGTGAGTCTCTGTGTGTGTGGTGAGTCTGTGGTGAGTCTCTGTGTGTGGTGAGTCTCTGTGTGTGGTGAGTCTGTGGTGAGTCTCTGTGTGTGGTGAGTCTGTGGTGAGTCTGTGGTGAGTCTGTGGTGAGTCTCTGTGTGTGGTGAGTCTCTGTGGTGAGTCTGTGGTGAGTCTCTGTGTGTGGTGAGTCTCTGTGTGTGGTGAGTCTGTGGTGAGTCTCTGTCTGTGGTGAGTCTGTGGTGAGTCTCTGTGTGTGTGGTGAGTCTCTGTGTGTGGTGAGTCTGTGGTGAGTCTCTGTGTGTGGTGAGTCTGTGGTGAGTCTGTGGTGAGTCTCTGTGTGTGTGGTGAGTCTGTGGTGAGTCTCTGTGTGTGGTGAGTTAGGGAGTGTCTAAGTGAGTGAGTGTCTAAGTGAGTGTCTAAGTAAGTGAGTGTCTAAGTGAGTGAGTGTCTAAGTGAGTGTCTAAGTGAATGAGTGTCTAAGTAAGTGAGTGAGTGTCTAAGTGAGTGATTGAGTGTCTAAGTGAGTGTCTAAGTCTGTGAGTGAGTGTCTAAGTGAGTGAGTGTCTAAGTGAGTGAGTGAGTGTCTAAGTGAGTGATTGAGTGTCTAAGTGAGTGTCTAAGTGATTGAGTGAGTGTCTAAGTGAATGAGTGTCTAAGTGAGTGAGTGTCTGAGTGTCTAAGTAAGTGAGTGAGTGTCTAAGTAAGTTTCTAAGTGAGTGAGTGTCTAAGTGAGTGTGTTAAGTGAGTAAATGTCTAAGTGAATGTCTAAATGAGTGTCTAAGTGATTGAGTGAGTGTCTAAGTGAGTGTTTAAGTGATTGATTGAGTGTCTAAGTGAGTGAGTGTCTAAGTGAGTGTCTAAGTGAGTGTCTAAGTGAATGAGTGATTGAGTGTCTAAGTGAGTGTCTAAGTGAGTGTCTACTTGAATGAGTGATTGTTTAAGTGAGTGTGTGTCTAAGTGCGTGAGTGAGTGTCTTAATTGAGTGAGTGTCCAAGTGAGTGTCTAAGTGAGTGTCTAAGTGAGTGAGTGTCTAAGTGAGTGTCTAAGTGAGTGAGTGAGTGAGTGAGTTAGTGAGTGTTTAAGTGAGTGAGTGTCTAAGTGCGTGAGTGAGTGTCTAAGTGAGTGAGTGTCTAAGTGAGTGTCTAAGTGTCTGAGTGAGTGTCTAAGTGAGTGTCTAATTGAGTGTCTAAGTGAGTGAGTGAGTGTCTAACTGAGTGTCTAATTGAGTGAGTG